ACGGTTGTTAGTAGCAGTTTTTAGTGTGCCGATCAGAAAATAGATGGAGACTCTGTCTTCATCTTACTTGTTTCAAACCCAGTTCCGGGAAGGAACCAAAAATGGGTTGTGTTTTCTCTCTGCGGGACCTAACCGTGCTGATGAGCTGTGATACAGCGAAACGCGTCCACGGATGGTCCCGCAGAGATAAAACACTTCTCAATCGGTCCTTAATTGGGCCGTTACCTAATTAAAATCAAATGTTTTTCGGTACCAACCGACTTAACTTCTGGTTGGCAACTAGAATAGCTATTCTCGCAATTGTGGCGAATGCCTTTGCGAGTCGATCTGCTCTAATTTAATACTGGTTTATACGGTTGTTAGTAGCAGTTTTTAGTGTGCCGATCAGAAAATAGATGGAGACTCTGTCTTCATCTTACTTGTTTAAAAATTCTTTTTTCAATAAATAAACAAAATGTACTTATTTTTTTAGCCTAAGTAGCACACACCATGTATCCGCTAGTACTACATAATAGCCGCAGTTCACAGGTGGAAGGCAACATTGCAGAAAGTAGATTGCATCTGAAGTCGTTTTAGACTAATAGCGGCTTCAGCACTGCTACTTTCCCAGATATTTTGTGCATAACTATGCGTCATATTAGTGTACAGAGTTTGTAGACCTCTCCCACAAGAAACCAGTTTCTCGTTTTCTATTGTGCTCACCCTTCCAAGGTATTTCAGCCACTTGCAAAACTGAGCTACTGTTTTGGTGCTTGTTTGGAAAATATGCCTAGGTCAGTTTCTGCTTTGCATATCGTTTTTAAATGATATTTCACCAGGATATCTGCAGTAAGCAGGTTGATGACTGTTCTTATGTTTCTTTTGATCGTTTCGAGAGATTTATCAATTTTTATTTAGTTTGTGAGGCTTTCGCGGCCCAGGTTTATTGATAAGGTGTTTTCATTCGGACTCAATGGCCGTCGTAAGTTGGAATTTCTTCCTGACGTTTCGCTAGCACGCGTGACTAGCATCTTCAGAAATGCTTACATGTCCGATTCTGGTAGGCTGACGCGTTCTCGACTGTAAGTTCTACTTATGTGTGAGTGGCTGTGGTGGGGGAGGGGCAAGGCTTCGCAGCACGTGGCTAATCTAAACTTTCTCTGTACTCAATGGGATCTTTCTTGCGTTTTTGAGGATCGGGTTCCAGATTTGGTTAAGTTTTAATGTTTCTTCTTTTCTGTTGAAGTTCTTCGTATGTTTTTGGATTTTTATAGCTTCACGTAAATCACGTACAAGACGATTGGTCGTTAATTTCACTAATGGGCGTATATCGAAATTCTCAAATTTTACAAGCGTATATGATACGCCTTTTAGGAAGATGCATTTTTCTTGATTCAAAACATACGTCATAAGAAAAATGTGTATAACTCAGAAACTACTAGCAGTTGATATGCGCCAATTAGAGGGCGTATAAATTTGATGTTTTGCGACATAAATTCCCTGAAAACGAAAAATCGTCTATTTCTCATATACGTCCCTTTGTCAAATTAACGACGGATTGTGGTATCCGGAAGTCGGTGCAAGAAGCTTGACTTCACCAGAGAGTATTTCGTGATTCCCTTCACTAAGCGCATGTTCCGCAACTGCCGATTTTTCCAATTGTCCTAGTCTGCAGTTTCTTGTGTGCTCGTTTATCCTGATTCCCATGGATCTTTTTGTCGTTCCAAGTTCCAATGTATACCTTACCACATGTGCATGGTATACGATAGACTCCAGCGCTTGACAGTGGGTTCCTCTTACCCTTGGCTGATCTGATTGATGGCTGTATTTTCCTTGTTGCCTTGAAGATCGTTTTTATGTTGCGTTTCTTCAAGACTTTTCCTATCCTGTCTGTCACCCGAGAAATGAAAAGCAGATGTGCATTAGCCAACACTGGTTTTTCATCCACGCTTTGTCGTATGGCAGTTTTGGGTCGTATGGCCCTGTCGATTTCAGATGCATTGTAACCATTTGAGAAAGGCCGACTTGAGGAGAAAAATATGATTATAGAAACGATTAGGTATATTCTATTATATATTATATAAGCTGTTTAATAAATTTGGTAATAATATAAGTACCAGAAATACATCTACGCCCGTGCGCGAGACTGGGTACTCTTGTGGGCTTTAGTATTTATTGTACTGCCATTGATTTGTAAAATGTTTATGGTCTTCTTATTTACAATAAATGCTAATATAAATAAAAATGATCTTTAAAGCGGAAATTGAGACAAATCAAGTTTTTATATAAAAACTACACCAAGCGGAAACAGAGAGCAATGAGACGATACGAAAAACGATGGAAGTAGGTAGTTAAAATAAATATATGGCAAAAAAGAAATAGGACGAACGAAGAGAGTAAAGCAAAGGCAGACTCGCGAAGTAATATTCAATAATTATTCTAAATTAAATCAGGATAATCAAAGACAAATGAGGAAATCTCTCAGAGGAAAAGAAAAGAAAGCACGATACAGGGAATCACAATCACAACGGAAGCAATGAAAAAAGCGGCTCCCAGAAGTGTGTGAGCAGCTGCAAGAAGGCACATCGAGAAGAAGAAGGACATGCAGGATTCTAGAAGGGAGAAAGTAAAAAAGTTATAAGAGGAATACACGATATGAAAAAAAAAAAAAAATGGAATTATTGACATCGCTCAGGGAAAACATTCAAGATATCCTTGCTTCTATTGCAACGCTCTCTGCGGAATTATATTACACATAGTAGCACACTCTCATGAACCAGCATCGCACAAATGTTTAAATTTTGAAGGACAATAATCGAAAATCGTAAATCCAGCACGGGCATAATTTGGGGTGATACGAACCACACAACCTGCTTTTCCTGAAAAGAAATAATGAAACATTTATTTATTCTTGGATCTAAAAAATCTGTATTATTAGTAGTTGGGACCGTCGCGTCGGTTAATAAGACACAAAATAAAAGACTAAATAGCTTAGTCTGTCGACGTTTTGCGTTTATTTGAACGCTTCGTCAGGAAACAACAACTGCAAAACAAAAATAACAATGACTAATGACTGCTAATGTGATTTTGGTTTCTGTTGTCCTGATGAAGCGTTTAAATAAACACGAAACGTCGACAGAGTGAGACATTCAGTCTTTCATTTTCTGTCCTATTAACCGACTATCCTAACTACTAATTACATTTGAACGACTAACCAAACAATCTGTATTATTGTTTGCCATAAATCTGCAAAATTTTGCTCTATAGATCTCACTACTTTCTACAAGTGGGAGTTCGACATTTTCCATGCCAATATCCATTACATTACATCAAACTAACCAACAAAGCTCTTCTTCTTAAATAAACTTCAAGTTTGAATCTCTTATCAGCTTGAGCCTGTTCATCATAAATTTCAATTCCCGGTTGCACCACTGTACTTACGCAATCGATCATTTATACCATCAAAACTTAAACTTTACCAAACTTCAAAAATAATTTAATATTTACAGAAGATTTTGATGCTTTTCACAAAAGTGAAAATAGTTTACGTGAGAACAATATATAGGATTGTCCAAAAAGAAACGGAATTTAGTTTTCGTACTGCCAGACTTGAGATCCTGGAGAGAACATTGTGGTTTCTAGGGCAGCTTTTTACTAATAATGACATAAAGAAAGTAAGAATCTCTTGTGGGAAAAAACGTGCCAAGCAAAACTTAACGAAATGGTTTTTGAAAATCCGAAATCATCGGAGAAATTATGGCACTTTACGAAAACATAAGACAACTCAATGTACCAAAAATTCAATAACTGAGAAAATTAGGTACAAAATCCCCTTTAGGGCGAAGACAAAAAATAAATTATTTCCTTTTCTTGGAACAACCAAATCGTAAAAGGAAGATTTACCACAAGTAATTGATTAGCTGTCCTAGATTTGAAGAATAGAGATGAGGCAAAGTAACGACAAATGCCGAAAATTAATTGGGTAAAATTTTTAAGTAGGTACCAAAAATTGCACACAACAATATAATAAAAGAAAAATGACAACAGCTGACGAATAATGATAACAACAACAAATAATTAACGACTAGAACAATCATAATTTGAAGAATACGACAATGAATAAGCAATCCGTGTAGCAAAACGTAAACGCTTACAAAGGAATCGATGATCCCCAAGACATTAATAATTGAAAGCGAAGTTGTTGAAGACAAGGTAGCATCTTTAGCAAAGCAACGTTGCCAGATTGATTTGTGATTCAGCTTCTTGCTTTCAAAATCATTAACATAACAAAAGATTATCCCTTGTGCTACTTAATTTATTTGTCATCTCCCACTGGTACATTTTGCATAATAGCAGCGATGCAAGTCTGTTGCGTTGTATCTTTATGTTATGTTGATAGAGTTTCTATGAATATTGCATTTTTTTAAGCTATATCTGTCATGAAATACCGGCTTTATTATAGGCACAAGTACGTGCGATTTCCTTAATTATAGCCCTTTGTAAAAAAAAACTAGAACAAAGAGGGTCAATAACCGTGTCATGCAGTTTTATATTTAAGCGGGGCAGATGAATGCAAATGGCACAATAATAAATTTGGAATTCGAGCATTTTTTTATGGGATATTCCTTCACATCCAGAAGAACATTAGTTTTATGCTTAGTCATTTTTATTCATGCTTAGAAAGGGTCAATTGCATTTATCAGCATCCAGGGTATATGTGCATGTATTTGAAAGGTTTTAATATAAAATAGCATGAAGATTGTCTATGACGTTTCCTAAGTGTCTGAGCCTTTTTTTATAGGCTCGAGTGAATAATCGTGTCACGCTACGCTCGTCTTTTTTGAACATGATTACTGATTAGGGATCACCCTTATAAAAAGATGATGCTTTTGACAGTTTTGACGAACCACGAATAAAAATCAATAAACCCAATTCAAAAATGAAAGCTGTACCAAAGTGCTTTTTATTTAAACTTATTGTCTGATAATTAATTGGTAGTTAATAATTTAATAATTCCTTACCTGGTGAGTTTGAACAGCCTGAATATCCTAATAATACTGAAAAAATCCAATAACTGGGATTTCTTTTCGAATATCAAAATCATGTCGATATAAAAACTCAGCGTTGCAGCGAAATCTATTATGTTCACTGGAGATTTAATAAACTCGATTACGTTCGGCGAAACCTGCAATAGCAAAAAAACAATTAAATAGAGTAAAAACAAAGACAGCAGCTGCATGAATTGAATGTTTTATTTCAAGAGACTGCAAAGAGCTTATTAAAGTAAATATCATATTTTCCAAACACAAAACTTTGCTGTTATGTTTAAAATTGAACAGCTCCAGGGAAAATATTCCACAGTAGAAACTTTTGAAAAAAAAAACAAGCTGCAGCTTCTATTCTAAACCTTGTTATGTTCAAAGGTTTAAAATAATAAAGCCTGGTATAGTTACCCTTTGCCATTTTTATGTGTGATTCCGACAATTAACTTTTAGGTTTTAATTAAATACACGTAACAGGGGTAAATAAATTGCTACGGCCTAAATACAAAAAAAAAATTATACCCCATAATAAAACACCTCCGCGCTAGCAAGAACTAATTAGTATCCTCAGACTGAAAAAATCTGCGGGACTGGCTAAAATTTCAAACGGCAGAAATTGTTCAAACGCGAAACAAAAGCTCGGGTCCAGGCACGAAAACAAACATTTTTTTTTTCTTTTGGCTTTTAATTGGCTTTATTATTTCAAAATTACGCTAGTACACTAAACTACAACAATTATGATTTTTAGAGCTGGGCAGAACTTTGCTTAATTGTTGGTGAATTTGTCGGACTTGTGATTTTGTCTTTGTGTATTTTCGGCAATTCACAGAGTTGTGATGGTTTACTATTATTTACTCTCCCCAAACCAGGTAGCAGACTGACGTAACATTGGAGATGAAAGCCCTAAAGGGCACTGAGGTTGGGAAACCTCAGGCATGATGACTTGCTGATTCAGTTCGTCTCTCTGAACTCTAAAAAAAGGCACCATTCGTGAACATCTAGTCCATGGACTAGTTTCCTATAGTCTGGAGACTCGAAAAAAAGAAAATAAAATGCGACCACGCCAATACCCTGAATCTACCCGGAGACGTCAGATAACTACATCCGATCTTGGATGAGAAAAGTTTACCATAATACACCAGTAGACATGCCTTCTAGAGACAACGGAGACCAACTTTTAAGAATGCCAAAGATCACACGATTGACCAGAAGACACGGCCGAACATTACCGAGCGATCAGTGGCGTCGGCTTTTTTTTTGAATCGAATAAATAAAATTTGAATTTTTACACAAAACGAAAAGTATATCATACTAAAACAAGATATTTTTTATTAAAACATGTGTAGGACAATTTTCCATGAAAGGTAAATGCTGGCAGTGTTGACAAAACTTCCCATCGAGAAACCGAGATAGAGTAGTCGGGATAGCAGCCCTCGGCGCAGAGACCAGCAGTTGATAACAGGTAAGCGTACCACAGGCTGCTATATGGTGATAGCGGTTATTTTTTTCGTGTTCCGGGCGAAAAGTACCGGTAAAAATAGTACATTCTCATTAGATTAGTGACCTATCGACTCTAAGACACTTTAGTTAAGTGCGCCTACTGGGTATAATGCAAATTTTTAGTGTGAAAACGGTGAAGACCTTGGCGGCCTGTAAAACGCAGAACCCAGCCAGGTGTTTGTGTTTCGGGTGAATGCGACGGGACGGTAGCTTCGATGTTGAACATCTTAGTAAGCCTATCAATAATCTACAAGGTTAAAGAGCCAACCTCTTGGTGTGCACCAATGGTGGTGTGCTCAAAAAGGATGGCACTGTCAGAAAATGCGTAGACTATACAGTTCTCAATCTCGAGAAAGATTAGTATTACCGGATGTTGAAGAAGCATTGTCCGAAATTGAGGCAGGCTTTCCGTATTTTAACAAGCTAGTCGTCACATCTAGATTCTATCACATTCCACTGGATAAGGAATCACAATTGATAACATTTATTAACGCCATTTGGTCGCTATGCATTTAAACGCTTGCCCATGGGAATCACTTCGGCAACAGACAGGTTTCAAAGACAAATATTAAAGATTTTGGAAGGACTAAAAGGAGTAGTCAATGTAGCAGATGACACATTAGTATTTGGTAAGAACAAGGATGAACACGACTCTCGTTTGAAGGCTGTGCTAACACGTTTCCAAGGAAAAAAATATAAAACTAAATAGAAACAAATGCATTTTGCAAGAAAAAAGTGACATTTCTAGGCCATAGCGTTTCAGATTCAGGAATTGAAATCGATGAAGAGAAAATTCGAGCCATTTCAGGCATGTTAGAAGACTGATGGGCTGCATACAGGTTAACACTTAATTCCTTCCAGAACCAGCGGACCCCATAAGACAACTGTTACGAAAAAACAATGAATTTATGTGGGCAGAGCCGCAACAACGAGCATTTGAAAGCATCTTACGACAGCTCCAACTTCAGCACATTTTGCTCCAGGACGTCCAACAAGAGTCATAGCGGACACCGGTTCATATGGATTGGAAGCAGTCCTGGAACAAATGGATAAAGATGTCTGGAAACCTATCGGCTATGCATCCAGAACAATGTCCGACACAGAGAAACGATATGCGCAGATAGAGTGAGAAACATTGTCCGACTTGGGCCTGCGAAAAATTCGCCCAATACCTTCTTGGTCTAACATTTATGCTCCTGACTAACCACAAACCCCTAGTGGAACTTCTAGGAAGCAAAAAATTAGCTGATTTATCAGCTAGTTTCCAAAGATTCCGAATGAGATTGATGCGATTTTCGTATGATGTACAGGGTGTCCCATTGAAGATGGGAATTGGAGTTATCTGCTAAACTCGTAGGGGTAGATTTTTTTTGATTCCACATTCCCGGGCCAATTTTTTATGACGAATCGAAAGCCGCAAACCGCAGGTCTCTATCTTGTTTCGTTTTGGAGATACAGGGTGAAACTTGAAATGTTCACTTTTCGAGGGTAGTCATTATCTAGCGTATAAAAAAAGCTGAAAATTGTATCTGACACAGTTTTTTACGTAGATTTCATTGGCGTACTGGAATTTTTTTTTTCCGAGATACCGCTTGAGAGATATGACACAAACTTCATCTTTTTTAAATGGGACACCCTGTAAATTTTTACATTTTTGAAATACGCATAAAATTACCTTTCCGATGATATATAATTTGTCTATATTATGTTGTAACTTGTCAATATTATCATGGTATTTGAAACTTTCCATAAGAAATAACCCTTGCAAATCACATTAAATATTTGGTTATATTTTCTGGTGTAATTTTTAGATGTGGGACACCCTGTATAATAATAGTTTATTAAATCCTGTATTTTTCACCATTTCAACGATATAGATATTACACTTTGTAGTTATACCTCTTCATTAACGTCAAGAAGAAATAGTTTCTGATTGCAAAGAAAATTGATGTCATTTCGGTATATACCTACCTACAGCATATATCCTATAAAAAAAATCAAATATCTCACTTATGCTCAGTAACTGAATTTAATAGTCTAATGCCCGGTTTATTCACTTTCTGATAAACTGTCAGGCAATGTAATATGACGGATAAACTCGCAATCTATGAATAATCCGATTGGTTGGCCAGTTATCCGCAAACCAATAAGATTAGAGATTGGCCAATTTATCTTGTAGACACTTAGGCTCTAGATCTTCCGCACATTAGGCAACTGGAAACAAATTTACTAGAAACTTGAATCGTTAATCAGTTGCTTATTAGTTGCCGCTTGTGTATTTCAATGAGCATCCGCACGCAACACAACTCGCTGGTAAGGAAACTCGTCGGTGATCAGTTAGCCGCAACCCGACATGCAGAGTCGTCTGGCGATTAGTTTCTATTTTATCTTGTAAACAAGCACACAAAACGGCAAAAACTGGAAAATAATCCTTCAATTTTAGGCTAGTTCAAATCCTATATGCATTTTATTATTTTTTGAATATAGTGATAAAAAAATAATAATTTAAACACAACAAAGTTACTATAATCAAGAAGTGACTTTATTTTTCAGTAGCGTCGTGTGTGATCCATATTCTATAGTTGGTAAGTAGTTGGTGATTTAAGTTGCCAATTGGTTTGGTTTCTTTCTAGTTGCTTAAAATGTGCGGAGGGAGGACCTTGTCAGTGAGTTTATCTAACGATAAATGAACTGGCCTTAAGCCGACGACACACGATGTGTCCACCCATTGGTCCCAACGTTAGATCCAACGTTGGGTACAATGTTTGGCACTCTAGCATTTGGAAAATGTGCCGCTACACGACGAGGCAAACATTCTTCCCCGCATTGGAACAAACCTTGGAACAAAGGTTGGAGTATCGTTGTCAGTGCCGTTTCGTTTCAAAGTAGCACGAGTCAGGACAAGCATCGGAAAATGATCTTTTTTACAGCGCCACTGAATCTAACCTAAAAAATGGACGAGTATCAATCCTTGTGTGGCAGTGTCTCCAACCTCTGTCCAACATTGGAAGCCTTTTTTGAAGCGGGTCAAATTTAACTACTTTGGCCCGAACGTTGAGTGCGGCCAACGTTGGACACATGTTTGTCACGAGCCCACGTTACACGATGCCACAAATCGCTATGTGTCCAAGTTGGAAGGCATTCGACACATCGCCGGCTTTAGACTATTAAATTTACTTTTCGAGTATTAGTAAGATTTTTAATTATTTCTTCTATGATATCTGTTGTACCGGTTAATCCAAAATAACATCAAATTTTCCTTGCAATCAGAAACTATTTTTTCTTGGCGTTAAAGCAGAAATATAGCTATAAAGTGTAATACCTATATCGTTGAAATGGGAAAAAAATATGATTAAAGGCCAATTTATCTATCTTCTGATAAACTGTCAGGTATGGTATGTAGTCTGATGGATAAAAACGCAATCTGTAATCCCATTGGTCGGTCAGTTATCCGCCAACCGATAGGATTATAGATCAGTGAATTTATCTTGCAGATAGCAACTAGTAAGTTTAAAGATAGAGATAAGATAAATAAACCGGGCCTTATTCAGATAAACTTTGTTGGAAACTAATTGCAAGGAAAATTTACCATTCCATAATTCTAGTGGTCGGCAGATAACTAGTGGACCAATGGGAATACATG